TGTATGTTATGCAATTACTCCGGCATTTGACAACCGATTTTGATGATTCTTTTTTTATTGGAAAGAGGGTACCTCAGTATTGGTCCCATTTATTATAATTCGAAGAAAATTTCCACCTGTAAGGGTAGTAAACTAGCGGATAAATTCGTTTTCACGCACTTTCTGGAAACCGATGTGAATAAAACTTGGCAAATAGGTGTTAATCCACGAATTTTAGAGGTCGATTTTTTAAAATAAAAATGTTGTAATTTCAAAGAAACCAACGTTTCGGGACCCTTTAATACGGGTTCCATGGTCATGGCTGACTGAGATGGTATGTTTTAAAAAACAAATATACGTACGCCATTTCTTTCGAAAAAATATTTTCATTTCTAATGTGTAAGTAACAACCGATAAAAACCTTAGAATATTTTTTTGGTTCTCAACATGCATGGTGCCAGAGCGTGGCGGACTATCGCCTAAACCTTCGCCGGAGAGGAGATCCGTGCCTAGTAGTGGGATATATAAAAAAGGTTGTTGATGATGATCATGATGTACACTTTACGCCCTTTTCCCATCGGGGCAGGCAGAGACTACAGCCGTCTACATACTCCGATTCAGGTGCACATGTTTTGCCTCATCAACACGCATCAATGTTTTCATACACGCTCGTCGGGGGTACTCTTGGCTTGACCATCTCGTAGTAAGTTCGTAAAATATTCAGATATATTATTTAATAATAAACATTACGATGATTTAGATAAATATTACGACGATATTACTGCCCTCCTTGTCACAAACAACGCTTTTGCATTTTGGTAACTTTCGAGATATTGACTCCAAGTTATTATTTCTTTGAAAAATGTTCATTACGGGGATTTTGCTTAACGATAAAACTGAAACTAAATAAGATATAAAAAACCAATGAGAGGGGGTTGTCCATATCGTTTCGCTCATTCCAGATAATGTTAATACCTCAAGTTCGCTAAAAATGTCGATTACGGTGTTTATGATTGGGATTTTAGGAGATTAGAGCGTTTAAAGCGTTGCAAAATATCAACCCTATATAAAAATTTTAAGGTGTACTGTTTAATACAAAAAATTGTCTGAACACAAATGAAATTGCACCTTAATAGCATTAAGATAAGTTAAATTTAAGTTTTCATTATTGTGATAATCTTAGTACAGAGTACTAAAAGTACCAAACTCAAAAGTTCTTTGAATTACAAGTTTTATTGAAATCGGTTATCGGAAACTGCGCTAAACCGGATTCATCTCCTAGTTTGCCACCTTTAGGAGTGAAATATTTTCCTCATATTTAAATGGGACTAATTCTGAGTGAGAGAGAATCATCAAGATCGTTCCACAAATTAGTTACAAAGGAGTTATCGCTTAACATAAAAAACACAGTCGAATTGAGAACTTCCTCCTTGTTTGGGTCGGTTAAAACGCTTTTCTTCTACATTAATATAGCTTATATACGTAAAAACGATCATAGACCATATCACTTCGGGTTCACTGGAGCGAGACGGTTGTAGATCCTACTCTAGATCATGTAGAAACTAGCTATAATATTCTAAATAAAAACTAATATAGTTGTTAACTTTAAATGCATTTATTCTGTATAGTACCTATAGTAGTTAAATTTATTTAAAAAAAACATATCTCTATATAGTTACAGTCGGCGTTGAAATGATAAGAGTGTTTAGTGTTCAAAATCAATCTTATTAACCTTAATATTTAAGGTGCATATTTTTAAACTGCAATTTATTGAAACACGATTGACTCTGCACCACAAAAACATGTTTATAAGGTTGATTTTTGACGTGCGCGTAATAAATTTGCGCATTTTCAGCACTCAGAGCACTTCGACGCTAAATTAACAAAATAATATTATTAATAATTCATTAAAAAAATGAAGTAATCGTAATATAATATTAAATTATTACGATAAATTAAAATGTTATTCATGAATCAATCGTACTTAAAAAGTGTTTTAAAAGAAATAAAACATAGGTATGGAAACCATGTAAAGTTTTCTAGGATTGTAACTAGTGGAGATTGTTGCTCTCTATGTACCCAACGTCTGACAGCAGGTATCATAACGTAACGCACACACTCAACATAGCCACGCACTAGGGAAACCCTGTGTCGCGGGTGCCATGGACACACATATAGACAACCACAAATTGCACCCAAACTCACGAGAGAAACAAATGCAGGCCAGGCAAATATTCGTCCCGGCTCGGGAAACGAACCTGGGACCTCTGCGTGGCAGTCCGGCATGGTAACCGTTCGGCCACGTAGGCAGTAATATACACGGAGGTATCATTAAGAAAATATTTAATGATTATTTTGTTATATACTAGCCTATTTATTATACATGTGCCTGTTATACGTGCGACCATTATGTTATCATGTGCCTATTGTCTTATACATGTGACTATTATATTATACATTTTCCAGGTTCAGAAAGTGGTCCACGCATTTATTATAAACAAATTATCAATACTCTTTGAAATTGAATACTTTGTTTACATTTGTAATTCTAATAGTGAAAGGTTAAACTTTGTATTTTCAAATGAAATCAAATTTATTTCAGACAGATACAGTCCATAATCTTTAGTTACACAATTATGTACGGAGTCCCATTAGGTCCTACCAATATTAAAAACAAAAACATAGAAGAAGTCCTCAATTTGAAGGCTAATGCAGTCTCATGCAATGAAGCATGATCGGGCAGTCAACCCTACCAGTCATAACGCGAAGAACGTTATTTGAGCTGCCACGGGTACGGCGTAGCAATGAGGCAGCTCTCTTTCTAAGAATAGCATGAAAGCCTTCTGCGAACATGCCTGATGCATTGCAGTACCGTGGCAACCCCAGCAACACTCTAAACGCGTTGTTATACCGAATGCGCAGGGCGTTAATTTTCTTCTGCGAACAGTTGACCCACAGATTACACGTATAAAAGATTTGGCAGAATGCTTTGAGAAGTATTGTGACTATGGAGTAATTGGGACTGCTCAAAACTGCAAGATACACTTTTGTACGGGATAATACGTAACAGGAAGCAAAATTTCTAAAGCTATATCTCTTAAGAATTTCAAAAAACGTCGTTTCCGTTAAAAGTAATTCGAATTCAGAGAGCGTTAACGACAGACTTGTCATTAGCAGCATAGACAAAACTCGCTAGAGTACAGAAACTTCCCTATTGTCACGGCACTAGTGTGTACAAGAGCCACGCTCACGATACAAGTATCTTTTTTTTATGTTATTTATGTATTTTTGGCGGAAAATCGACAGCTTGGAGAAGACATATTTGTCATCTTTGTGCTTATGCTAAAATTAGTAACTTACTTATTCTAAAATTACAATAAGGTAGGTAACGGTGACAAAAGTCCGTCTAACATATATGTCTCGTCGGCTTACATAAGAAATTGGTTAATCTAGGAATAAAATACCTATAACGTAGATATACTAATCAACGACTAATTCTATTCATCCATAGGAAATTAAACTATTTTTCCAGATTTAAATCGCGTATATTTGTTTTTTTTTTTTTTTCAAACAAACCAACGTTTCGGGCCCTTTACAGGTCACACAACAAACATACGCTTTTTAAATCCGGAAAAATAGTTTTATTTCCTATGTGTAACAATCGCGAAAACCTATGTATATATGTAATTCATCTACATAACATTTACAGGTCCATTTTAAATAGAAAACCACCGTGAATTTCAGACATAGGTAATGGATAACTCACGTACTTTTTTTTGTAAGACCAAATGACAGGACGAACAAGTTGTGCGCCTGGTGGTAAGCTACACGCCTGTCCATAACAGTTGCAATGCCACTCACATGTTTTAAACGTAAAGATCTTAGGGGCACTGCCACTGCGCCCGTCACTCTGACACATAAGTTGCCAAGTCCCATGTACCTGAAATTTCACCAACACACTTACCTTTCAAAACCGAAACACTATATAGAAATAGGTATAGTTATATAGTTTCTTCTTGAAAAATTTAAATACTTAAGTTATTTTATTGTTAGTTTCTGTTAATTTCACGTTACCCCAAACATGTAATTCGTTAGCAAGTAATTAATGTACCGATATTGTTATTTAAGTTAGATTGCATTAACACAAACCTTAGTGGTTTAAAATGTGACTAATTCCTATTTTGTTAACTGTTTTGTTTTTAAATGGTAATAAATAAAAAAAAAAAAAAAATAAAAAAAAAAAAAAGGTAAGGTGGCAGTACTTCCCTGGACGAACTCTTTCACAAGGAGCTCTACTGCTACTCTTAATTAATCTTGTTAATGTCTTAACAAGTCCAGCAAGAACTCCACTAAGGAGTGCGTCGTCACCGATTGCAGGACTGCATGAAATCGGTTTCGACATGCATGCAGTTAATGCGTGAAGTCGTCATCAATTTCATGCAGCCGAGGCCTCGGATAACGACTTCACGCGTTAATTGCACACTGCAATAATAATAACGCATTCGATAACATTTTCACAGATAAGGAATTTGTTCTAACAAACAGTTTATCTTTAAGCTGGTCGTAATTTGCGGTTTTTGAACACATCATAGATGATTTATGATATGTGTGTAGATAAAGTTAATTATGATATGGTTACAGAAATTCGCTTCCACTCAATTCCTCAGCAATATTTATTTTGAGCCTTCTAAAAAAGTAGTAAAATTAGCAACTTGCATTTTTTGCAAGTGTGTACAAAATATGTTTATTTTATTGTTTTCTTTTTTCTGTTTCTGTTTTCTGATTTAATTTTATATGTACCAATTATGCTTGTTTATGGATTGTAACATTTTCAATAAAATTAATTTATTTGCAAAATTAGTGAACGGTGCTAATGCTGTGTCCTTAGTATCATTACCGGCTAAGCGTGACCGCCTGAATAACAACTGTTTTAAGACTACGTTGATATTTTTCTGGAATCAGTGGTGAGTGTCTCTTCCTGTCATGTTGTGGGTTAGTTTTGTTTATTTACCCATTTGCCACATTTTGCATTTGTCACAAGACAATTATGTTTGTATCTTTTAATTTTTTTTATCATATCAAGTGACGGCACGAACAAGTCGTGCGCCTGATGGTAAGCTATACGCCTGCATACAACATCGTTGGAAATTTTGCCGCTTGACTTGAATTTTGACGAATATTTCAACTGTGGATGTACGTCAATCTTACGTAAATATAAAAAAATATTTTTAAATATTGAATTGGTTGGATAGATAATGAAATTAAGCTATGAGTTCTTTGTAATTATAATTATGTGGTAATGAAATTTTATTCCCTAACATAGTAGTAGTAGACAGGTTTTGGAGGAAAAAGTTCTAATTTATACCTCTGGCCAACCTATTTCGAACTGGGGATGTCCCCAGTTGGACATAGGCCTCCGCCAAAGAACGCCACAAAAACCGATCTTGTGCTGCTTGCATCCACTGGATTCCTGCAACCTTCACCCAGGTGTTTCAGGATATTCAATATTTTAAGATAACTTTTAACAGATAAAATTATTGATAACCTGACTAAAGACTGACATTAACTTCGAGTCCTTGGTATGGGTTCGAGAGAAATTAGTTTTTTTTTATATTCCCGTATTCTCGTAATTAGAATATCGTCCTATAAGGAAGTTTCCGGATCATTGCCGTTGAGTTTGCTGTTTTTGTCATTGCCGTTCTCTCTTGTTTCCCCCCAGGCCAAGTTGAGACTTCTCTTCATGTTGTCATCAAGTGGGGGAATCAACGACCTTGGCAGTAGGAAGGTCGATAGATTGAAGAGGTCCAGGAAAACTTTGTAACGGTCACTAGAAGAAGAATAAATGATTTTTAATAACTTATCCACGTAGTAAAAAGAGTGAATATGTTAAGCGTCCTAGAGACATACGGTGCCCCTAAAGATTTTGGTAAAAAAAATGTTTTTATAAATTTGTTTAATTTTATAGGAAATGAAACTACTTTTCCGGATTTCAATCATGTATATTTGTTTTTTTAAACAAACCAACGTTTCGGGCTCTTTATAGGTCCCATGGTCACGGTTGACCTGTGCCCGAAACGTTGATTTGTTTGAAAAAACAAATATACGCGATTTAAATCAGAAAAAATAGTTTCATTTCCTATGTGTAACAATCGCGAAAACCTAAGAACTCGATATTGTTCAATTTATCTTAAAAAAAATTAATGGCGAACACAGCTGTGCGTTAGAGACACCGTGTGATTCTAGGACGTTAATGCTATCGGCACTAAAATCTGTATCGTGTAAAAATCTAGACCAGACAAACATACAGAGTCTCAAAAGTAAACGGTATTAAGAAAAGAAAAAAAGAAGAGGAATATAGTTCTAACGATGTCACAACAAAAAATAAGCCAACAAAAAAATTAAGTAATCATTGTAAAGGCTCATTACCAAGCGATGCACAAAAGGAATGTTTTCAGAGTTCGAAAAATGCTAAAAATCTTTTACAGTGTTCAACCTCTGGTATTTAATGAAGAAATAGATAAATAATCTGTACCTGAGGGTAGATCGCAAGTAATGGTATCCGGAAGAGCCGCCTGTGCCCAATTGTTGCGAACCGATCATACGCTGCACCATGATTACGTGGTTATCTGCAGCAGTATATTGTTGTTTAATGCTTGTTGTACATATTTACTCAAATCTAAATTACGTCATCTTTACGTATTGCAATAAGGCTAGACTTCCCTTAACTCGTCATTCTTATAATTCTTTTATCGTCAGTTTTTACTGTTCCAAATTGATTAATTTTTTATAATACTAAAGGGACGAACAAGTCGTACGCCTGGTGGTAACCTGGTGGTTGCAGTGCCACTCAGAGTTTTAAATCCCAAAGATCTTAGAGCGCACTGCCACTGCGCACGTCACCCAGACACATAAGCTGACAAGTCCCATGTGCCTTATTTTACCATAGTCACGCTATCGCGCGTAATCTGGAGCGTAAAGGCTAATAGCGTAAGATAGACCTCATGTTGGAGTATCGCGTGATAGAGTGTCTGTGTAAAGCCCGCTGTTGTTTTCAAGTCACAACTTAGTAGTTCATAATACAACTTACAACGCCATTTAGTGATGAGACTGTCCATGTCCATGAGCAGTGTTAACAATTGATGAGGCTGCGAGAAACGAGGTTCGTCACGGTAGAACGTGATCATGATGGCACCTTGCAGAGCTTTGTGGGACAGCCTGAAATTTGGGCAAGCAGTTTAATTAAATGTAACGTACAATTGATCGGTACGAATATGTTTTGTTTTCTTGAAAAGTTGTCTGGTTGTACTCGGTGTGAACTGGTATTTATTACACTTTTGTTTAAACCGGACATTTTCTCCTCTACTTGGTCACATTTGTCTTTCATAAATCAGACAGTTTTGCGTTCTTACTACAGTTGGGTAATTTTCCGAAAAATTTCAAAACGTGGAAATTTATTCGGAAAAATTCCCGAAATATTGTAAAAGTTGCAGAAATGTAATTTCGAAGGTTCGTATTATGTTCCACGTTTAGAAATATCTTTTAGAGTTTTATTTAGCGTGAATTATAAAATAAACTGGTATAGAGATAAAGCCACTTAGAGAAAAATGAGATTTAAAATGATTTCACACCAGCGGAAAAAACCTTTAAAATGCTTAGAGGATGGAAAAAATAAAAAAATAAGTTAAAATGGCTCTATTGCTTTCTTTCAGTGACTTCAAGTTTTGATAGGTGTCAGTGTCAAATGTGGAAAATTAACGGAAAAATATTTGAAGAATATCCGAAAAAATATTTACTTTTTCATTTCCAAATTTTTTTTGAAAAATATTATTATTTCAAAATGAATATTTTCCATGACCAAATACTAGTTCTTACACTTGTTGTTTTGTTCTGGGAAGTGCACCAGAGTGATACCGTTGCTCTGGCACTCGTAGTACAGGGAGTTCCCTAATTTGAGACCAGGCAATTGGTGTGCTTATCGAGCACATTATTATTAAGTATGACATGTTCTGTTTGACTGCCTCCTTGGCCCCATTTAAAGTTAACGTGTCTACAGCTCTGGTACCTACCTGGAAATCAGGGAGGGTACTGTATGTGCACATGGGGCGGCTCACCCGAGGCACTAGTCATTTGAGAACCGGATGAAGTCTGTGACAACCTTGTACTGCCTGATCCGGGGTCAGGACATGAACTTAGAAGGGCCTTGTGCTTGCACAGGTTAGAGTGACCTTCTTGTTTACCCTAAGAGCGTTTGCGCATTACTTTCAATTCGTATCAGTTCCAAATCCGAGAAATGATGGTCCGAAGTGTCACAGGGATCATTTTATCTCTAGGTGTGCAAGCGATAGTCGTATTTTCTCGGATTGGAGTCGGACTTAGTGCACTAGCGACATCCGAAGTGTGTCCTAGTTTTCTAGATTTGTAAAGTCTCGGAATCGGGCGAATACGATCGGATGTAGTGCACAAACGCTAAGGGTTGGTAGGGAGGGTCACTATAATCAAAACTTATGTAGAAAGGGACGGGGGGCTGCCACGCAGAAGTCCCGGGTTCGAGCCCCAGGTCGGGAGAAATATTTGTATGGCCAACATTTATTTCTATTCGTTTAGATGTTGTTCTAGTTGTCTATGTGTGTGTCCATGGCACCCGCGATTCAGGGTTTCCCTAGTGTTATTTATTATTATTATTTATTGCGCAATAAACTTTCTTTTTATAAAACTTACAATCTATAACTGACCTTCTCTCTCCGCGAGACCGCAATGCATCATGGACAGCAGGGTCGAAGATGGACCGGTAAGTTTCCCGACGATTCTCGGCGTCCTGCAATCGGTGACGACGCACTCCTTCGTGGGGTTCTTGCTGGAATTATTAAAACATTAACAAGATATTTAGATTGATATCTCCGACCGGGTCAATGTAGAAAACTAACTTTTCTACGTTATCTCGGGTCTGGGTGTTTGTGGTACCGTCGTTTCCGATTTCCAAAACACAAGCTTCTTATTTTGGAATCTGAGCGACGTATATGATGTTGTCTAAAGATAAGAGTAGCAGTAGAGTTCATTGTGAAAGAGTTCGTCCAGGGAAGTACTGCCACCTTACCTTTATCTACCGCCAAGCAGTAATGTGAGCATTATTGCGTTTCGGTTTTGAAAGGTAAGTGTGCTGGTGAAATTTCAGGCATATGGGACTTGTCAACTTGCCTCAGGGTGACGGGCGCAGCGGCAGCGCCCCTAAGATCTTTACGATTTAAAAGATGTGAGTGACATTGCAACTGTGGACGGGCGTGTAGCTTACCACCAGGCGCACGACTTGTTCGTCCCGTCTCTTGGTATCATGAGAAAAGTTTTGTCAAACCCTAAATTAAATTATGACGGGTTGAAAGAACAATATATCATTTACTAATTATGGTCACAGTTTAAAAACAATTACTGTCAAATACTTGACTAAACTCAAAACGCATGGTTCGAATGAAGCTTCATCCATGACTTTATTTTTTAATTTGGTCGAGTAGGTATTACTTATTTGACTGTAATTGTTTCGGAAGGATGTTGGGCGCTGTGACCATGTGATCCGTAAAGAGCCCGAAACGTGATTTTAGGTTAGCAATTTCCAACGATTATTAGTAATTAAAGTTAACATCAGTGCTACAGTTCGAGATTCCAAAAGTAAGTTTTAAACTTTAAAGAAAAAACCCTTACCATAGCAAGTTCTATGTCTTCCTTGATCATTTTATTAACAGCTGCTTGGAACTTGCCCCAGAAGTTGAAGCCGTGTTCGTTGAGACCTGGGGTCCGTTCCAACCACCGCTCGATTAAGGCTAGTAGAGCCGGTTGTTCTTCTGAACTAAAAGCAATTCGTGTTGTAAGTTTGTAGACGAACATGAAATTTGTGATTATTCTTTATTTATTGATACATTGATATCATCACTTAAAGATGACGTCAGGTATATAGGTGAATTTGAAAGACAAACTAAAAACAACGAATTGTTCTCAAATGTGTCGAATTTAAAGTTTTTATTGGTAAATGGTAACCTAGAATTTTTTTTTTCCGAAATAAATTTGTTCGAATTTTCATTACACCGAAAACCGAATTATAACGAAACCGTTGTTCTTTCAGGATATGTTGGATGTTTATCGCAAAGACATGATTAGGTTCGGTTAGGTTAGGTTAAGCTTGGTTTAAAAGAAAAAAACATTTTCCTCTCAAAATTACTTTCGAGGTTACGAAAATTAGAGCAAACGTTATTTCTGGAAAATGTCATTTCGGACTTTGATAGGTAACCGTTTTTATTGTCAATGACAAAAAGATGAATATCATTTAGCTAAAATAACCCAAATCATGCTGTTTTGACTTTTAACGAAGCAGGTACGCAAATGGAAATTTCCATAAGTTTAGAACCCAATATAACTAAAGTCTTAAAGGTATTTTATCTAGTCTTTTATACATATATTATAGTCATGGATCAATAATTCAAGAGTACTGATAAACACGGTAAAAGACGGGTATTTAGTTACCTATTGGTAGACTAGATGTCGCGATGAGTACTAAATAGCAATTTTTGTTACTAATAATTTGACAACCTACAATTTACACTACTCTAATTTCTAGTGATAACAAAGAAATTAACTAGAAGGCGCTTATTGCACAGATTTTTATGGATAGTGGTGGCTATTCTATTATGTAGTTTAGGATTAGCGCTATCTACCCATATTAGCAAGTGTTAATTTCGAAATTAGTTTGTAACACACAATGCCATCTATTGACATGCATATTTGCCAAAGTCCAGCATGCTGATTTTGATTCAAACCAGAATTGACCCGATCGGAGACGCAGTTTCCGATCGGGAGAGGCAATCAAAATCAAGCTGCTGAAACTAATATTAGTTCATGGTCTGCAATTGAATAATATTATAAAGAAAAACACTGACTTGCTCTCATAATGAAATATAAATTTAATTATGAGAGCAAGTTCTATTCTCTTTGGAAGGAATATTTCGATGTGAGGTCCCAGAAAAAAGGAATCTGGTACAAAACCACGCAGAGTGAGCCTCTTCGTGTCCCTTGGTTTGACCATGTTAAGTTAAGCAGGGGTCAAATTGTCAGCGCGCATAGGCTTCGATCCGGACACGTTCCATTAAACAAATTTTAGTATTTGATGCGGAGGGTGAATTCACCAAATTGTGAAGTGTATGGGATTCCTGATGTACATCCGTACATCATTTGCTCACGGAGTGTACCAGGACGGAGCCTATCAGGGCGCGGTTATTTGCACAGGCGGTTTCCGTACATTTAATGTTGGGTGGTTTCAATCTGTTTTATCGGAGCCAACATGTAGCGCCGCGGAGATTTTGAATACTTACATTTGGTTAGGTAGTATTTTGATTTACCTGTCTGGATTTTATTAAGTGTTTTCTTGAGGTATTGTTTTTCTAATGGGGCTGACATGTTCAGTAACGATCAAAGTCCCTAAATAAAAAAAGATGAATTAATTATCCAAGATTTTTGCATAATATAAACTACTTTTAAACGGTTATCGATCAACGCCGTCGAGATATGACATGGAATTTGGACCTTTTTCAGAGTTACAATCTGTAGTATGGAGATTAACAGTCCACACACAGATTAGCATGGTAATGGAATCATCCTAAACCAAAGTAAGACAAAGTGCAAGCGTGTACATTCGCCATATCATAGAACTGCATCGAGAGTGAATGATGATGACGTCAAGATTGTCTGTCATAGCTATGAGTGCCTGTACGCTCGCGCAGACGCCAAAGAGGGAATCGCATTTACCTGTAACTGTGCTAGCTTGCAATTTGTTAACACGTTTAAATACTTAGGTCTGCTTGTTGATAATAGATTTAACTGGAAAATACATGTCGCTGAAGTATGTTCGAAGCTTAGAATACTGTTGAACAAATTTTTATGACTTAAAATCGCTGTTAGATAAACGTAGTCTGCGTATAGTGTATTACGCATTGGTTGATTCTTTGCTGAGTTACGGGCTGAGTTGTTATGGCCGAATCTTTGAAACATACCTCAGCGATGTAAAAATTCTACAAATAAGATTTTTGAAATATTTAGTAAGTCGTAAAACCAAGTATGGTTGCAGACTATGATAAACTATTTAGCTGCTGTGAAATACTTCATATAAAAGCAAAAGTTTCATATTTGGCCGCTATTGAAAACTATTATACCGCTGAATTTAAAATTAATGTAACGAACAAGTACAGGCGAGCCCGTGAAAATAAATATGTACGTCTCAGAGTAAATCACTATTATGGTAAAAGAACAAATAGACATCTCTTGCCAATTAACTGCCTCAGTGGCCGAACGGTTACCATGCCGGACTGCCACGCAGAGGTCCCAGGTTCGATTCCCGGGCCGGGAGAAATATTTGTAAGACCTACATTTATTTCTCTCGTGAGTTTGGGTGTAATTTGTGGTTATCTATGTGTGTGTCCATGGGACCCGCGACACAGGGTTTCCCTAGTGCGGCGCTATGTTGAGTGTGTGCGTTATTATTATTATTATTATTATTAATTATACACAATAAATTCGATTTTTTGAGAGGCAGAGAATTGGTAAGTAAATTCACATTGAAGAAAAAATTTAAACTTATACTTCTTGAAAGCATGTAAATTTAATAAATTCTACACTGGTTTTGTTAAATGTACTCGTACTAGGTATATTATAGTTTTGTGATTGTGAGTGTAACCTCGCCAGCAAATCGCTTTCGCGTTTGGTGAATCGTGTTATGTTCTCATGTATGCCTTGTTTGTATGAAATGAATAAAATAAATAAATAAAAAACTTGAATTATTGGTCCATGATATAGTGCAGTACAAAGGAAGGAACTCACCTGTGCAAATCGGCCATGGCCGCTGGGTCGTCGCCGAATACGGTCTGGTAATTCTGGTTGTATTTTACTCGTAGGGCTTGTTTCAATCCCAACTACATTTCAAGAAAGTGTAGGTTACGATTGATAGCAAAGATTTTGTAAAAAAAACTGAAGTATACATTTACAAGTTGTAAGAATAGTCTGATTTCCCCTTGAAAAACGCCATTGGAAATTTTGTTTCACCAAAACTTTATGGCAATTTATAATTATTTTGCCTAAAGTTGATTGTAACTAATCATCAACTGAAATTTGAGCGCTCCTTATTGTAGTAATTTTTATATCAACTCAGGTACTTTTCACTGTTGGTCACATATCGATGGCTTTCTAGAACAGAGGCCTATCTCAAACAAAAGCATGTCAAGCATTCATCAGGAAGATGTTTTAAAAAACCTGAAACGCGTCTGCCGCGCAAAAGTGACATATCGTAGACCATCTCAACGTCGTCATGTGATTAGTTCAACCAATAAAAATTTCGGTGTCCCATTCATAATAAAATTTAGCATTTTCTGAACAAAGGTCATAATAACTTAAAAATGAAACTAGTTTAGATGGAGTCACTATTCTTGATAAGCAGCGATATCTAGGACAGGGTTTGGGTCATAACATAACCCACTATCACGTTTATATCTATATTGTTCTCGTTATTTCGTTCTCAGTTAGTCGGATGATTTATATGAAAGGCCAGGGCCTCGATTAGAAGATGGTAGAACTTGTTTTGAAAGCAAGCATTTGGAAATTAAATTCAGTCTGCATATTCAGATATGTTCTAGGTTGTCACTCTTTACAGTTAATTCCGTTATACTCATATAGTACCTACAATATTACCATTTTGATCAGATAAGTACAGGTAACTAGTTGGTGTTTGTCTATCATATTTATAAGTATTTTACACTTTTTCTCAACTTTAGAATTTAATACATTTCGTTGATTCAGCTACGCACCTTATTTTCTAAAAGACGAAATTGAAGACTCTGAAAGCCAGATGCAGGGCGGAGATAGTTTCTGAAGTCCATGAAGTCCAGAGGAGTCATCGTCTCTAAGATCATTACTTGATCCACCAATAGCTGGAAAATTACAGTGGAAATATTACATTAATGAAATAACAGTATGCCATAAGGCACATTTCTGGGGCTTATAATTATTATATTTGCAGACCATCACGTCTTTGAGCAACTGCTATATGACGTGATATTAATTGTGGTCGTTTAAACTAATTCAAATACATTACTGATTAACAATGGTTTTTGATGACATTCCGTAAATAAATTCAGACAAACAAGAGTACCATAGGGACCATTTCTAGAGCCTCGTTTCTACTTCTGCAAACTTGCAAGTAGTAATTGGGCAGTTCCCACTTTATAATCTGATAATAATTGTAATTTTCCAATCTAGTTTAGATGGAGTACAGTGCCAATAGTGTTTATTTATTGAAATATTTGTAAATTAACTTTAAACAAGTATGCACAAGGAACATTCCTTGGGCCTCATTTTTTCTAAATTTATAATTTTTTTGTTGCAGCAAGCTATCTAATAATTGGGGCATTATCTTTAATATTTTGAAAGTTCATGACGAGTAACAAAAACATTCGAGACCTACGTCATTGCTGTATATCACGTTTAGTGATATGACGCAGCGTCAAGTGTCAAATGTCACGGCTACTTGGCTTACATATCAGAGAGAAACATAATGTGACTTCATCTAAACTTGTCCCTTCATCTAAACTTAGAAAAGTTATGAACAGGGACACAATGTCGATATGATTTTTCTTTTTTTTATAATATCAAGTGGCGGGACGAACAAGTCGTGCGTCTGATGGTAAGCTACACGCCTGTCCATAACAGTTGTAGTGCCACTTAGAGCTTTAAATCGCAAAGATCTGAGGGTCACTGCCACTGCGCCTGTCACCCTGAGACATAAGTCTCATGTGCCTGTAATTTCACCAGCTTATATTTATATTTGCTTAGGTCTAAAAATAGTAAGATAATGTGCAACAGGCGGCCTTATTGCTATGTAGCAATTTCTTCCAGGCAACCTTAGGATAGAAATTTGGGATATGCAAAAAGGATGCAACCAAAGAATATTATTACAAGTACACTATATAATGTTTCTTAATAACCTCATATACGTAGATAGAAATATGCATACAAATATTAATATATAACAATACATAAATAATAATATTAAATGGTTATATAGTTTAAAAGGAAAAAGAAAAATAAAATAAGAAGTATAGGAAATAAATGAAAGGATAGTGGAGAAAAAGACAAAATTAAGGAGTTGAGAAAGTGATCCTTGACATGTCGTTTGAAGGAATTAAGAGAAGGGGAACCTTGAATCGATTCAAGGAGAGAATTCCACAGTCTGATCGCAGAAACGGTAAAAAGTTGGAATACTTACTTATGTTTAGTAAGAGAGTTTCAGAGGAGCGAAGGGGACGGCAGAGTGTAGAAGAGTGGAAAGTAAAGCGATCTTTGAGATAAGAAGAGATAAGAAGGCGTAAAGTGACAGAATAGAATTGAGTAAGAAGAATTGAATTGAGTGAGAAGGGAAAGAATATGAAGATCTCTTCCCTGGTATCTCTTCGCCACCTTACCTATTTCTGACGCCAAGCAGTAATGTCAGCATCACTGTGTTCCGGTTTGGAATGGTGCTGGTGAAACTACAGGCACACGGTACTTGCCAACTTATGTCGTAGGGTGACAGGCGCAGTGGCATTGCCATTCAGATTTTTGCGATTTAAAGCTCTGAGTGGCACTGCGACTGTTATGAACAGGCGCACGACTTGTTCGTCCCGTCACTTGATACAATAAAAAAAATAAAAAAATGGTAAAGGTGTCGTAGTTCATCACGATAACGCCAAATCATACACTCTACACCAAGGCTTCAAAAACAACTGCAGTTAGGTTTGGATGTGCCTCGTCCTCTACGTCCCTTCCTTTTACTTCTTACAAACGAATTAAGCATCAAACGACACGTATTTTATCGGTAAACGCAGGAATTTTTTGAAAATGGAATTTTTAAGTTTTTACTTTAAATTTTGCAAAAGATTGTGATCAACATGGCCGATACATGATAGATTACAGTTAGATATTTATTTATTTTATTTATTTTATAAATATTTTTCATTAAATATTTTTCATTTTATACAATGACGCCACACGAACTTTTTGATCAACCCAATACTTGGATGCAAAAATATTTGGCAATATTATTACCTTTTTTTACCACTGTTTTCTTGATTTTGCAAATCATTGTTCGCCAGCTATTTCAGATTTATATGGTTTGCTAGATTATGACCCAGGCTATGAACTAGTAGACTAGACTACGAACATTGACGTTAAGAGCTAGCTTTACTTACTTTAAGGATAAGTACAACCCTGTTGAGTCTCTTCAGGATCTCCATGGTATGTCCTTCGTCCAGACCTTCTACATCGAGCAGCGCGCGCACCGAGTCGACTTCAAAGATTATCTGCTTGAACCACAATTCATATGCTGCAAGAAATGGAAACAAATACATTTAACAAGTGCACGGTGTAATAACCACCTTATTGTGGATAATTTCAATAAAGTTTCCCGTTGTCCTAAATTAATAGATTTTGCCCCAAATTAGATTTTTTAATAGTCGGCGATTAATGTAAAGTGGCCACTAGGGCTGTCAGTAGAAATCGGTCATTTTTGGACTAGTGTTCACTACCTAATTTCCGTGTATATATATAATATTTAAATCCTCAAGTATATTATCGTGTAATTATTAAACAATATTTCACGACACGATTCTCGAATATGAAATAATATTGCACGATAAAAAAATCGAATACTTAAACAATAAAAAAAGCCACAGAAATTGGGTAGTGAACATTAGTCCGAGAATGACTGAAGTATAGTAAAAATCGAGATACCGTGCGGTCTTGAATATCTCGGGAAAACGAGACTTGAGACAAAAAGTACATTTCAGAAGTAGTTTCCATACTTGTTTTATTATCGAAATTATGTATATTTATTTATATATTGTAAATTTATTTGGGCAGTCAAAACATGATATTTTATTTAAGTACATTATTAACTCAAAATATTAAATAAACAATTGTTAACGAAAATTATTTTTTCATTTTGAAAGCAGGCACGTTAGAAACTAGAATGTTTAATAACTCCCAGTTTCATGTAGAGAGGACCTCATTTTATAACTATCGCTCTACAATCTACACAGATTATATTGCTCCGCTCTCCAGTGTTGCCGGAGAAAAAAATAAGCTTAGTATTTAACACAAAGGTTATAAAGAAATAAGTGACAGGAGACTCGCAGACTCCTTATCTAGCAATTAATCTAGATTCAGGAATAGGGATACGTACCCTGATGAGTTACAATGAAAAGGTGCTCATCATGCACTGGCTTGCTGGTCTCAGCACTTAGCATTCGCTGCGCCGTTAGAAGTTTGTCCAGCATCAGGTATTCTCCGTACAGCATTCCCGCTTCGTTGCCAAGTTGCTCTCCATCTTGACCGATCTCCTCGATTGCGGATCTACTGAAACAATCGTATTAAATGGATTGAAATATTGCATAAAAATATTCTGCACTATGAAATCTGCAAGGCGCTTGTAATATTGACTTTCGAATGAATTAGAATAGGAATTTACTGCCGCGGTAATTTTTTTGTAGCTAAGTAAGTTAATAATAATAATAACTGTTTTGTCCGCAAACGGGTCATAATAAATAATACCAGTCAGTCTCGCTACGCTAGCATCTTGAGGCGGTTGGATTTCTGAGGCGTGTCGCTTGCAGCACAAATGCAGAAGGCCGTCTTGCTCGATACTGCGCGTATTGTTCGCCGGTTCTTGAACCAGAGTCCCTGACCGCGACCGAGTGTGCTATTGCCAGGGAATACCGTCTCTCCCATTTAAAAATTCAGAATGAATGTTTTAGGCCATGAGAAAGATGAGAGTCTAAAATAGATATCAATAATAATGTGCCAGACAACTACACCAACTTCCTGGGCTCAAATTTGGGATTTCTCTGTACTATGAGTACCAGTGCAACGGAATTCACTCTGGTATACTTCCCAGAACACCCAGACCAGAACCAATTTAGAAATTCATTTCCCAAATTGGTCCTACCGGGAAACGAACCCAGGACTTCCGCATCCAGCGCTTACAGTGTAAAGAGGTAAAAGAGGTCGTCTTGTTAGTAAATTGTTTTATTAGTAAAATAATTGTTTGTTTATATAATATAAATATGTTTTATGTATAATTGTATGGATTTTTAACCGACTGCAAAAAAGGAGGAGGCTCTCAATGCGACTGTATTTTTATTAGCATGTATGTTACGCGATTACTCCGACTAGTGAACCGACTTTGATGATTAATATTTCGACTCATCCGAAGAACAGAGTCCGATGTGATTATATAGCGAAAAGAGAATAAGTACATTACGAGAACAATTTCGTTATTCAAACTAAGGCCTATGTAAAGGTGTTATGAGAATTTATATATCTTATTTCATTACGGAAATATAAAAACGAACAACGGTGGATCTGACATCCACAGCGAAGAAGAACGAACGAAATGTACTATGTCCTGAGAACAAGTAGTCTTGCAAATAGGTCTTTGTTCTACGGATGAGTCGATTTGTTGGAAAAAGGATACCTCAGTATTGGTCCCATTTCAATTTGAAGAAAATATTCCACCTCTAAGGATAGCAAATTAGGGGATAAATAACGTATATTGGACTTCAAACACTTTTCGTTAACCGTTTTCAGTAAAACTGGACAAATGGAAGCAATTCCACAAACTTTTGAAGTTGGTTTATTTTTATAAAAAAAAGTTATAATTGTAGAACAAAACGATTGCCATTAATCTCATCAAGTTAAAAAGCTCTTTGATTGGTAGATATTCTCCATCAAAAAGTTTCTGTTCTGTGTAAATGACGGAAGGTTCCAATTCAAAATATGCGACATTGTGTTACGTAGATGTCGAAAGGTACCTATTTTTAATTTTTAGACCCCTACTTAAACAGTCAGTACCTGTCTGGTATTTAATAATCCTATGAATAATGTATGTTGTATAGAACTGTGAACGAACTTGGAACATGGTACATCAACTCGTTATACCAGTTTATAAGACAAAAAATAGCTTGTCAGTCTCAATTTTATTAAATTATTCCGCAAGCTCCAAATCGATGATTCCCAAAGTGTTCTATTCTATCACGGTATTCTATCCCCTTATGATCCAGCAAAGTACAAGGGAAAAGCGCTAAACGCTCAATATACAATGATAAAATGTACCAACTATAATTACATGCCGCTATTTTGTGTGAAAAAATTATTATTCAAGATACCCTGTAGAATGTAAAGCGTTAAATTTGAAAGAGATATTTTCATTATAATGTACAGGCACTGGGCGTTTACGTAATCATAGGCATAATATTTTTTCCACTCTTCCCTACCACGCCATCACTTTTCTGGGTCAGAATCACTTTACGTATTACGTTCGTTTGGATGTACACCGGGGCTTAAGAGGCTATATCGATTGCCCACTCATACAAGTCCTGTCAGCGAAAAAGCAATTAGGGGGTGCATGAGACTTTTATGAGGGTCCACGGAAAGGGAACCTTCTAGACAGATCGTGGCTAAAATTGAGAAATAGAAATAGAAACCATTTTTACAACGCCACAATACCAAAATACACAGAAAGAAAGAATAGAAAAGGTAAACCTAAAGTAAAACAAAAAACAGCAAACATTAAATAGTCAACACAATTTTAAAAACTGTCATGTGTGCGACTGTAGCGTAACTCAGCTAATGTCACAGCCGAGAAAAGGCCGTGATACTGATTTTCAGAGGAACCTAAAACTGAGTAAGTAACGGGAATATGTGTCGCGTATATAAACTAAAATAAATTACGTAAATACTTATGTGAAGTAATTTTTACTTATAGGAATGAAACTATTTTTCAGGATTTAAATCGCGTATATTTGTTTTTTCAAACAAACCGACGTTTCGGGCCCTTTACAGGTCCCATGGTCACGGTTGACTGAGGAGATATAGTCTTCAACCAGTTATGTCTAATATTAATGCAAACCACCCTATTTTTTTCACTAGAGTCTATAGTAGTAGTTTTTCACTGTGGTAGCATTAATGTTAGACATAACTGGTTGAAGACTGTATCACCTCAGTCAACCGTGACCATGGGACCTGTAAAGGGCCCGAAACGTCGGTTTGTTTGAAAAAACAAATATACGCGACTTAAATCCGGAAAAATAGTTTCATTCCTATGTGTAACAATCGCGAAAACCTAAGAACTCGATAATTTTTACTTTCCATAAACATCGGTTAAATAGTTTTTATGAAAGTTCCACATTTAAACTTATCAGATTGAGTACTCAGTATTATTGTACGCAAATCAAAAACACATTTGAGTTTATGAATTTGAAAAAAATCATATTAAAAAGTCAGGGAGTCTACGAAAAACAGAAAAAAATTGGCAAGTGGTCTACGAGGCAGAATAGTTTGGGAGCTTCTGCAATAAATGTACGCAGGAGTATCTTTTGCATATTTAATAACGTATACTATTACCACAATTAACCGGGTTTTTAAACACGGTAACACTTTTCAATCCGTGAAGGTGGAATGTAAAAATGCTCCGAAATATCGAACCTGGGACCTCTGCGTGGTAGTTCGGCATGGTAACCGTTCGGCCACACAGACAGTAAAAATTCATGCCGGGTCAATGACCTGTAACTAGACCTAATACTAGTATTTTTTTTATTTAGTATTAGTATTCTAATCATTAGGTGAATATCCGCGAAAGTTTTAAAATCTGTACTAAGCTTAGAGGGGCATTATATTCCTTCTTTTCAAGAACAGTGGCTCCAACCAAAATTCTATTCGCGTCCTTGGTGTACTCACACATTTGCAAAATGACACTTTTCAGGAGGGCGATTTAAGAATGGTTACACACGGTGAATTTTAGCATCGATGCAAATGAGCGACTGCACCGATACAAAACGCGCGATTGCAATCGCCTATAAATCCCAAGCATTCGCGCGCTTGCATCGCGTTTGTATCACTGCTTAAAATCGCGCGCGCGTGTGTAAAGGTAGACGATTAGCGACTGTATCGCTACTGCATCGCGTTTGTATCGCTGATAAAAGTCACCAGGTGTAACCGTTCTACAGATTCTACGAACGAAATTAGTCGTCAACTTTTTTATGCTTATACAGGAGTGTTATTTATTTCATATAATTCGTACTTTTATTTTTTTCCATCCTCTAGAGTTCGTATTATTTTTGTGACATTTATTGAGTTATTTTCATATTATAAAAGATATGTCTTCAAAAAGTTTGGTAATGTTAATCAGCATACATTTTCATTGTAACGTTTTATTAAGTTAAAAATAGGGTGGGAAAATCAACTGCATGAAAAAATTTTCAGCAAAAAACAGCTATTTTGGCGGAGTAGTAAATTAATTAATTTATTATTCCACCTTTATTAACATGGACTTCCGCAAAGTAACGCTTGAATCTATTAATATTATTTGACGTATATGAAAGTTTTACCTTATTCTACTACAATATCGTTCAACTCCATAATTTTTAAAAGTGACTGTTTAGAGACTCATTACACTTATTAAGGCAAAATCTATTGAGATAATTATATACGAGTATTTATATGTAAGTCAATGCCAGTATACTACTGTTTCACTGACGTGCGGTGAAGACGCTGCACATCATTTAGTTGGTTGTCAAACATTCAAGATGGCGGATGCAGATGCGGTCTTCTTTGAAAATTTATTTACATCGGTCTATTGCCCAATCTATTGACCAATTGTGTGAACATACAATTAAAGTTTCAAATTATTCACATTGATTCGGTAAGTAGTGTTGTGGATTTTTATTAATTTATGCATTATAATATTTGATAATCGCGAAATAGTGTACAAAATTTCACACTATCCATGTCGTTTTGCAAGCACGTATTGAAGCGTGTTGAAACAAGACAAAACATAAATCATAGATTAATAAGCAACAGACTGATTAATGACAGGGTACGTATAGTATGATTATAACAATTACTAAAGTTACCAATATAAATTAAACAAATATAAAAAGAGACTAGTCTGCATGATGTAAAGAATGTTGCCTTTCCGCGAGGTAAAGCAGAATATAACATAAATAATTATTAATACAAAGTTTGAACACATAGAAAAAATCCTTCGGCCTGGCCGGATTCGAACCGACATCTTCTAGCAACCGTGGCAGACGCTATGCCAACTAAGCCACGGGACGAACCAGCGTACCTCACGAATTTTTCTATGTGCTTGTTGTTCAATCTTTGTCTTTGCATTTCAACGACTTTTTAGCCGTAACGTCTTTCGTCTATGTATTAATAATTACAAAAAAATAATTGAATATGAATTCAATACAAGTTTAATGACATAAATATTTTCAACAATTCATTTGTATTTTTTTTACTTAATTTGATTTTCTTTTTGGTAATATAATAATTATAAATAGTAAGCGGAAGGCTCCTGGGTCAAAGCAAAATGAAATTTATTTTGCAACCAATAGCGACTTTGCTAGGGGCTTTACGTTAATTCCCCAGCTATAGATAAATATCATTCATTGGTAAACACTCAATATTATCTGCCTACCTAGCTCATTCACAATAGGTATAGACTGTCACGTCTGTGCTACGGTACTGATACTCTTTGCCACTATCACTATTAATAGTGTTTTGTTAGGAACATGTAGTTGCTGTGAATGTTCTTGTCCATAGATTGAAGTCGTTGTGTTTAATAGTCGACGCGAAACGCAGTTCTATCTTATTACATGGACATAAAGCTTTTTTTGACCAGCTTAATGCGATTCGAATGCAATTCTTAAGTTTGTTTTTAGTTTTTTTATTTGTTATTAATTAATATTGCATGGCTTCTGATAACAGCTCTTTTGATATGTTTTCTCTTTATCTAATTCTACATCCAGTCAAGAGCACATCAAGCTTGACATGTTGGATTTTATACCGTTTTTAAAGTAAGCGGTAAAGAGTTGAATTTGAGTTGATTTTGACCTCGTATTTCAATTAACTAAAATAGACACAAAATGTTTCAAAATGGCCACTCGATTTCCCGCGAAAAATGTCAGAAAAGGACAACAAATTTCTTCACACTTGCTCGTAAACAGTGTCATGACATGCAGGCAAAGTCGACAGTAATGTCCTAAATTATGCCCACGGGCTTTTCCATTACATTATTGCACTAAGGATTCAAAATTAAGCAAAACGTTTTTATACTCGAAAAATCTGAACGTACATAGTTATAGGCTTAGAATAATAACGCATAGAAACCTAGCCCGCACACGCTAAGTGAGGCAAATTGAAGCGCTCCCAAAGGGCCTACACGAGCGGGCGGGCCTTCAGTGCTCAAGGTCAACTTGCACCGCGAACAGCTCCAGAATTTTAGCTAAAAATGACGAAATGTGCGGTAATTGAGTGTAAAAATACGTCAGGCAAACATAAAATAGATACTAACATCACATTCCACAAGGAAGTAATGCGTTTCAACTTGTATTTTTATATAAATATTCATTAAAACCGAAAATTAACCTACTACTAAAACTAGTCTACATGAATTTGATTTTTGCCTCACCTGTGACAGTTCGTTTGATATGAAACTATCATTCTATGCGTTATTATTCTAAGGTTATAGGTATTTTGCATAAACTTGAAGTACAATAAAACCAAACATGTGCAATTATGCTATATTTTACTAAATTTATTTTGTAAATTCAAATTCTGCAGTGTTTTTAAAATTTGGAAATTATTTAAATATATTGTAGATGCATGCGTGTGCCTTTTATAATATTTTACTTCGAGCTGTATTATCTATGAAAGAATCGCAGGCAATCTGCAATCTGTTTAAAACATCTGTCATTTGCAAAATCCGTAAATGTTGTTTTGTGAAGCGATATTTTATTCTACAAGAAATAAATTATCGTCGTATCTATTTCCTCGCAAATGTGATGAAAAACGTTGTATAATAGCACGGGCGGTAAAAATTACAAACATCCAGTCGTTAAAACCCCTCAGCATTCGGCCTCGGGCTTCTAACAAGCTATCGTTAGTAATTTCTTACTTAACGCCCTTAATACACAATGACTAAATAAGAAGTAAAATAAACGGTATGTAAAGAAAAATGTCAGAAAAATATTCATTGTTTGCAGCGGGTAGTAAATATATAATATCTAACGTGTTTGTCTATAGAAATGACAAACTTTTGTTAATGGTTTTCTGATGACTGGGAGAGACGTCTAAAATACAGTTTGCTATCTATATTTAAACGAACATGTGCTTTTTTGGTAAAATCTGATTTTTAATTTCATTCTTGTAACCAGAGAGGACATTTATTATTACAAAACCAAATTTCCCTTATTCGTTTTTTTATAGTGGAGTAAGACGTTATTTTTTAAATTATCTTTTATGTACTTATTTATTTAAAATCGAATACGGTGAATTCAACGGTTGCAATGACTTGATTTAGTGACTTCTGCAATTACTGAGTCTTGGCAGTAAGCCGACGGTAGGTATAATCATATTAATGATCTACTATAAAATTATGTTTTATTTTTCGAGTTCTTAGATTTTCGCGATTGTTACACATAGGAGACGAAACTATTTTTCCGGATTTAAATCGCGTAGTATATTTGTTTTTTCAAACAAACAACGTTTCGGGCACTTTACAGGTTCCATGGTCACGGTTGACCGTGTGGGACCTGTAAAGGGCCCGAAACGTTGGTTTGTTTGAAAAAACAAATATACTTACGCGATTTAAATCCGGAAAAATAGTTTAATTCCTATATGTTTTATTTTAATAGACAAAAAATCTTACCTCATTGGACAAGTCATTTTGGAAAAAAGTGTCCTTAAATTGGTTTTGGCACGAAAAGAAAAAAGTTTATTTAAATTTCGAACACGCGATGGAGACACGCGCTTTCACAACGCGCGGTTATTTGATACTGGAGCAGCAATGTCTCGTCGCGCTGCATGTATTTGGTTTCATTGATATTGTAACTTGAAACCTATTGGTTTTGGATTAGAAGTTGACGGAAGGCAATATTGTAACAGCACAATATTGGCAAAATGGCGGGAACATATTTCCTTAAATAAATATAAATTGTTTAGTCATTATTCAAGGTAATTATACTTCGAAATATTACTTACTTGCGACATCAATAAATACATAACTACGTATTAATATGAGTTAAGTATTATTTGCTTGTATGTAATACGTAATGATAAGAGGCACTCTGAAAGCAACGTAAGTAGGTATTTATAAAAAAAAATTGTTTACTTAATATATTATTATGACTGTTAACTCTTGACCATATATTTTTTAACTGTGCATTATATCCCGTCTCTTTATACGATCTTCTTCCAGATTGTATCCCTCGTCCCACAAATTTTTATAGTATCCTTTCTCCCTTAAAACCTCCTCCACTATTTACTCTATTTAAATATATTGAACAAAATAACATACGTTTATAACTTTTACTATGTGCACAGCATGTGTTTACGCTTTTCATCCAAAGTAGCTAGTCAAATAACCCCGTGTTTTGTCTTTGTTCATAGGATGGTGCAATCGATCATCGTCGTTTGAGTGAATCTTGATAAATATACCGTGTATCTTTCAACCCGGACACTGGCAAAATTGTCCTCAGTAGAACAGAAGCCAAATACCCGAAAAAAAAAAAAATTATGACTGTTAGCAGATTATAATACGTGTGTGTGGATTGAGTGAGCATAAGAAAGTATTTGTAAAAATTTGAAATAGGCACTAATCGACATGTAATTAAACACGATAGTTTAGCAAAATTTTTACTAAAAACTAGTACAATAATATTATGTGCAAACTTAATACTTTTGTAGATCTGACCGGCCCTCTGTGAGAAATGAGTGAGCACATATTACGTTATTTTTATCTTGTTGTATCTTTTTACAAATAGAATGATTGGTTTCTACAATTGTTTTAGAACTTTTACTAAATGAGTAACAATTTTAAACATTTTACAGAGGGCGCTCACTCAATACACATTCAACGTGATAATAATTAGTATCACGTAATACCTACGTTTAGAGTGCGGTTTTAGTAGCGGTAGAGCTCCATGTGAAAGAGTACGTCCAGGGAAGTACTGCCACCTTACCTATTTCTGTCGCCAAGCAGTATAATGTCAGCATTTCTGTGTTCCGGTTTTGAAGGGTGCTGGTGAAAACACAGGCACATGGCACTTGTCAACTTAGGTTTCAGGGCGACTGGCACAGTGGCAGTGCTCCTCAGATCTTTGCGATTTAAACGTCTGATTGGCATTGCAACTGTTATGGACGACTTGTTCGTCCCGTGATATTATAAAAAAAAGATAATTTTGATCGCAAAGTTTAAAAATTAAGCTCCATTTCTACTTTTAACTCTTATTTCGCACTCTTGATGTAAGAAGTTTACATTTGCAAAATGAAAATTTTCAGGAAAGAGGTTTAAATATTATGCGAACGAAAGTTGTCAATAACTTTTTTATGTTTAAATAAAGTTTCAAATAGGTATACAATAATTTGTTTCATGTACTTAGTTTATATTATTTTTACGATTTTTATGCGTTAAAAACACTTTTGAGGTATTATTACATGTGGCTTTCTTATACCAAGGCTACGATTATCTATTGTTATCTAAGACTACAGGAAGGTAGAAAATAATATTAAGGGTTTAACAGCGTGGGGCATTGTACCTTCATTGTACTCAATATCCTGACAACTTATTTATATTAGTCAATTTATTCTATAACAGAAGCAGACACCAGCATTCTGGTCACCACCAGAGATTTTTAAATTTTATAAGAGAATAACAAATTGTAAAATTTTCTACCTTTGTCTTAAATTGTCTAAAATCTATCCTATCCAAGAAAGGTTATATCGTGCGTGTGTGTGGGTCAAAGTCAAATAATCATTTATTCTATAGGTAAAATAAATTTACACTTCAAAACGTCACATTTAAGCTATTGCTCGTTCACTACGCTGACTTCGCTGAGAAGAACGAGGAAGAAACTCTAGGTATTGCTCTATTCAAATAAACTTAAATGCCATGGAATATACTTGAATCAAATTTGTGTGGAATCTAGAGCCATGTCGTCTTTCCATACATCTTTATCTAACAGGTAGTCTTCAATTTTGTAAAAGGACTTTTCAATCAAAATTGAAAAGTGTCATTTCGAATGTTATGTGGGAGCATATTTTTGTTTAACACGATTGTTTTAAAATATTTACGTTCTGTTTTAAACGCAATTTTAAAACTTAATTAAAATCAAAATTAGATTTTAAAAAACCTTAACAAAAACCTATTAATTGAAACTAATTTCACCGTCACGTTACAACGTTTACAGCGATGTATTGACATGGCTATGTAACAGTATTATGCCGACGCTAACCGGCAGAGGCATTCGATTGTAAACAAACAATAAAGTTGCCTCAGCTTTCTGAATCTGATGACATAAATGCCGCGATCGAATCAGCGAATTCCGATGAATTGGCTTGCGCGTGCCTAATTATTTACTGGCATTTTATAGTAAACCTTGTTTTTGGAATCTTAAATTTTCATAACTATGATAGGTAGAAATAATGTTCTGTAATAAATTACGTAATTACAAATTATAAAACTTCATATCGATCCTACTTAGTTTTTTTTGTAAGCACGTTATTTTTTTATAGCTGTGGATAAATTAAAAATGAGAGATAATAATATATCAAGTCTTTTTGGTCGAGTCTGTGGAGGTTTCACTTTGTGATAAAAAGTATTGATTCCAAATAGAATTAGTATAAAAAATAACACTACTTAAAACATTGCTGCTGCGCGAGTAACGAGCGAGTCAGAAAAAAAATGGTCCTAACATCATCTCGTTTTCAACAGAGCAACATTCAATTTGTCATGTTTTTCTGGAAAGGTACTCAATGTATGTACATAGATCATACTATATTTCATCTATAATCCGATTGATGTATATAAGTTCGAGTAAAAACAGAGTTTCTACACCACTTATTATTAATTGCTCATAGTCATGATTGCCTACATACAGATCAAACAGACTGTGTATGCAAGGCGATTGAAGTGGTAAAAACACAGCGATACCTCGGATTTATAATTGACAATAGATTCAAATGGACGGATCACATTAATCACGTATGCGATAAGCTGCGGGCAATACTTGCCAAGTTTACTCTGATTCGAAATAAAATTCTATTCCAAAATCTGTTACCTATCTCTTTATATGGCTTTGGGAGAATCCATAATTTCTTATGGCCTTGGTAGCTATGGTAGGTCATGTAAAACTAAGCTGAATTTAATTTATCAAGATACGTTAATACATAAAAGTAATTATCACGATCTCTTCGAATATTGCAAAATCTTACCGATTCATGATAAAATTAAATACACCTTACTTATAGAACAATTTTTTAGCTTAGAATAATAACGCATAGAAACCTAGCCCGCACACGCTAAGTGAGGCAAGTTAGAGGGTTCCAAACGCGTCCCAGGAGCGCGCGGGCTGTTAGTGCTCAAGGTCATATTGCACCGCGAACAGCTCCAAAATTTTTTGCTAAAAATGACGAAATGTGCGGTAAATGGGTGTAAAAATACAACAGACAAACAAAATAGACACTAACATCGCATTCCACAAGTAAGTAATGCGTTTCAACTCATATTTTTATGTAAATATTCACTAAAACAGAAAAATAATTTCGCGGCAACAAGATACGAAAGTGTTGCAAAGTAACGAATTTTTTTTCTCCCCATTTTGCTATTCTGTATCAAAATAATTATATTACGTAAATTTTAGTGGTGCCTGTAATTTCGATTTATTTGCGCATTTTGAACTAATATTTACTCGAATAAACATTAAATGTTTTCGTTAACTCCTGTAAGTGATTGGGACACTTAATTATTTTAGAATACTTTTAACGGCTCTGCGTTCATGCTTTATTGAATAATTATTTATATTAATTTTATTTGAATTGGAGCACATATTGCAACAAATTTACAGTATATATTTGTTTCTACTATAGTGTTGGCACCACCAGTACAACTTTGATAGCTTATTATATGTCTTTCTTTTCGTAACTCAAGCGAAATATTTTATATTAAAATATTTTATTTTCTTAAAAGGGGAGCATTCTTAAGCGATTTTTTAATCTATTTTAACAGTTATTTTCTTTAATGTTTGCTTATGGCATTTTCGGTTTTAGGTTTCGAATATGGCACTTATTTCTAAATCCAAGATGGCGGGCGCGATTTTTCGAATAATGGCAAGTTGGGTATCGCTTTCGAGATGTTTGGGAATGTTCAATAGTGGACAGAACTTCAGCAGTGGACATGTCAGCGGGTGTACTGCATGGCAGACCTCATGGTGGTACTGCTTTGTTGTGGCGTAAGAGTGCTTTCTCTTCAGTGGCGGTCGTGAGATGCGACAGCGTTAGACTATCGGCAATAAAAGTAACAGTGAATAATCAAGATGTGCTAGTATTCAGTGTTTACATGCCGGTTGATAGGTCAGAAAATTTGCCTGAGTTTACGGAATTATTAGGTAAAATTAGTGCGATTATTGAAAGTGAATATGTTGAATCAGTGTTAATATTAGGCGATTTTAATGCTCATCCGATGGAACTTTTTGGAAATGAGCTACTAAACTTCAGTGCGGATCAAAAATGGTGTTGTGCAGATTTTGAAAAACTTGGTATGTACTCTGACAATTATACATTTGTAAGTGAAGTCCACGGGAGTGCGAGATGGCTTGACCATTGCTTGGTAACAGAGTCTGTATTTAGAATTATAAGTGATATTAAAATTGACTATAATACGTTTTGGTCAGACCATTTTCCACTAAAAGTGGTGTGTAATTTGGCAATTTTAAGACCTAAACATGCTACACAGAAATATGATGTTAATAAGGTTACCTGGGGTACAAG